TGCGCTTTACACAATTGATGTGTGTATGGATTGGGATAACAGTTGTATGAGCCCCTAATAAAATGTTAAAAAAAAAAAAAAGAAATGGGCTTCTTCTCTGGCATTGAACTACTGAATGATGTGACATGCACGGGGCACCCCTAGAAAACTGGCATTGCCCTGGGAGGATGGAGCAGAGCTTCCATAGGATGCATTTCCTCCCCTAGGTGAGCACTTTCGTAGGGTGCATTTCCTCCCCTAGGTGAGCACTTTCATTGGGTGCATTTCCTCCCCTAGGTGAGCATCCCGCAACTCGATGAATTAGCGCATCGCCTGGGAAGGTCCTCTCTGGTCACAGTGAAGTTTTTGGTAAAAGCGTTTTCATTTGAACCTCTTTTTTTGTGACGAGTGATTTAAGAGAGCAGCGTGTAGCTGTGAAATTTTGTTTCCTGCTTGGGGGGAAAATGCCACAGATGTTGTGATGTCGAACACGAAATGTCGAGTCTTCGTGCATTTGGAGTTCGTTCCACCAGGTCAGACTGTTAATCAAGCTTTCTACTTAGAGGTTCTGAAAAGATAGTGTAACAGTGTGGGACAAAAAAGGCCTGATTTGTGGCAGACAGGGGACTGGTTTGTCACTATGACAATGCACCTGCTCACACTGCCATCTCAGTGAGACAGTTTTTGGGGAAAAAACAGCATGCCTCTCCTGCCCTACACACCTTACTCACCTGACCTCACTCTCTGTGACTTCTCTTTGTTTCCATAAATAAAGAGGGACATGAAAGGACAGCAATTCAATGATGATGAAGAAAAAAATGAGGGAGGTGCTGTCAGTTATCCAAACATGAATTTGAAAAGTGTTTCCAAGAATGGAATCACAGATTTGGCAAATGTATTATGTAATGGAGAGTACTGTGAAGGTGATAAACTTGTTTTGTAAACAAATTTAAATACATAGCTTTGAAAAAAATTCTATTTTTTGGGGGGTACCTCCTCGTATATATTAACTCCCAAGTCACAGCAAATTCAAAACAAAACAAAACACACAAAAAAAACGTAGATCCAGGAATGAGTTCTGGGCTCACACTAAATTCTAGCTCCAACTTAAGAATAATCAGTTTTTACATCATGGCCCTGCTTGATACTCACCTTCATGAAATGATCACTGAAAATAAGGATGCTAAAGCAAAGTGTGGTGAAGAAAGCAGATGGTACCTGGCTATCAATAAGAATAGGATCTGGGGTCTTGTATTCCAACAAGCAGCCATCTAAGCAAGGAGTCAATTGATTCCACACAGA